AGGCCCCGAGCGCCGCGCTCCATGCCCGAGCAGCGACCCTGAATCCTGCGAGAAGGGGTCGAGCGGATGGGGGCGGATGCCCCCACGCGGACACAACCCGGACCGCGTACTCACCATCTCGGCGGCTGCTCGGAAAAGGAAGCGTCGGCTGCGGCTGCGCAGTTATCGCGAGCGCCGCCCGAGGCCCCGCCTCCAGCCTCACGTGCACTTCCGCTTCCCAGAGCCTCGCTGTCGCCCCCTGCTGCGTGGAGGGCAGCGCGCAGCTAGCCTCCAGAGGGGTGTGGCTCCTCTTGGGGTCTTTGTTTTGGTTTCTGTCTCGCTGTCCCTGTCTCTCTCTCATGTACAAAGTCCCAAGGCAGTGGTTCTCAGCTCGTGGGTCACAACCCCGTCGCAAATCAGCTAGTTACATTACTATTCATAACAGTAGCAAAATTCTCGAGATATGAAGTAGCCGCGAAATATACATACATGCATACACACACACACACACACACAGGCATACATGAAGATATAGATAGATGGGTAGATACAGACAGACAGACGGCTGAGAGAGTTTTCAGGACAGAGTTTCTCTGTATAGTAATCCTGGCTGTCCCAGAACTCTCTCTGCAGACCAGGCTAGCCTGGAAATGAGAGCCCCCGTATGGCTCTGCCTTCCAAGTGCTGGGATCAAAGGTGTGTGCCACCTACCTTCTGGCTGACTTTGTATTTTTATTTTCTAATGGTTTTGAGACAGCACTGGGACCATGCTGGCCTCTAACACAGAAAGATCCTCCCGTCACTGCCTCCTGAGCAGCTTTGTTGGTTTGCTTCTACTTGTGTGGTGTGTGTGAGCCTGCCACCTCAAAAGCATGGAGGCTGGAGGACAGCGTGGAGGAGGCAGTTCTCTCTTCCGCCATGTGCCTTCCAGGGGCTGGCATAGTTCATTAGGTTTGGCAGCCAAGTCCTGTCCTCACTAAGCCACCAACTTCTTTTTGTCTTAGACAGGGTCTCCTGTAGCCCAGGCTGCCCTCAAACGTGCCATGTTGCTGAAAATAACCTTTAACTTCTGATCCTGCTGCCCTCACCTCTGTCGTGCTGGCACAATAGGTCTATGCCACTGAACCCAGCTACAAAGGGGGCCCCTTCTTGAATGATGTCCCTTGCTCAGGCATGGAGGCATCTCTCACCACACAGAAGACAAACCGAATTCCAGAACAGCCAGGACGGAAAGACCCTGTCTTTAAAGCAAGAGATGAAGCCAGGCAGTGGTGGCCAGGACAGCCCTGGTTACACAGAGAAACCTTATCTAGAACACCCAAAAGTAAATAAATCAATAAGCAGAGAGGATCGAGGTGGTGGCCTGGGGGAGAAAGATCTCCCTCACCACATGCTGGCAAACCTCAGACTCCTCCTGTGTGGATGACAGAACTGCAACTGGCATGTGGCCACCGCATTACATACTGTAATCTATTTCACAGCAAGAATTTACTGAGTGTCTACTACTTGTAAATAGGTATGGTTGGAGGTTCAAAGCCCACTGGAGCAGGTAAGGAGTGTGTGGTGATGGCAGAGCTAACAGTAGGGTGGGTCAGTGTCCTGGCTTCCTTGAGAACTACCTAGGCATGCTGGCCATGGGTGGCCCACGCCTGTACTCCTAGCACTCTGGGAGACAGAGGCAGGAGGATCTCTGTGAATTCAAGGTCAGCCTGGTGTACAAAGCAAGCCAGGGCTACACAGAGAAACTCTGTCTCAAGGAAAAACAAACAAACAAAAACAACAACAAAGAGAACTCCCCAGGCTTTAGCAGACTTAAATCCAAAGCAATCTACCAACTTGGTGAAAGGCTGGGTCTGTTACTGGATCCCCGACAACTCTCGAGAATTAAGGAATTTGCCCTGGGGGGTGACCAATACCCTTTGTCCCCTACGTGAAGAGGCTGAAGTAGGAGGCTCTCTTGAGCCCAGGGGTCTCAAGACAGCCTGAGGTGGGTGAGGCACAGCGAGACCTCTGGTGAAGAGCACTGGCTGCCCTTCCCGAAGACTGGGTTCAACCCTCAGCTCCTGCAAGGTGGCTCCTAACCGGACCCTGAACCCAGGGGATCTGAGGCCTTCTTCTGCTTGCCTCCGGCACCAGGCACGTGCGCGATGCACGAGTATACACACAGGCAAACAGGTGCCCAGGAAATAATATGTGCATCTGAGATTTTTTTTTTTTTTTTTGAAAAAAGGAGGAGAGGCTCTTGGGCATGGCTCAGGGGTAGGGGGTAGAGGGCATGTACGGAGCCCTGGGTTCCAGGCCCAGTGTAACCTGGGTGTGGTAGCACCTGCCTGTCATCCTACACAGGAGACAAGAGCTGAGGCTGCAGCTCATCCTTGCTGCACGGAACCAGAGGCTGTGAGGCCTGTGCAGCCTGGATTCTGAAAAAGAAATTCCATTTTAAGGGGAAATGACCTGGGCATGAACTCCAGTTTCAAAAAGGGGGAAAACCCCACAAAAATGTGCTTCGACCACTCACCTCTGACAATATTTAACCGTCACCCCCAGCGATGGCTAAACAATAAATACACGCAGACTGCCCAGGTGTTCTTTACAACAGGTTGAGTAAAACAATTATGGTTGGGCTCCTGGTCACAGTCAATCGGGTTCTATTGTCAATCAATCATAGAACCAACAAGCTAGAATTTCCCCAAACCTTGCTGTAACCCCAATAAAAACCCTGCTGATCTGGAGCTCGGTGTTCTCAACCCTGACCTGCTGCGTCCGTGATGGTTGTTGAGGCCCTGCCCCAGCTCGAATACATCGACCCTCAAAGTGGGCTTGCATCGGAATTGGCTCCTTGGTGGTTATCTGAGGTCCCCGCGATCCAGGCACAAGGTCAGCCTGGGCTTCTCGAAAACTTAGCTCTAAGTTAAAAATGGGGGGGTGGGTGCTGTGGAGATGGCTCGGCTTTGAGAGCAATTGTTGTTCCACCAGAAGCCAGCACCCACGTAACCGATAACCATCCGTAACTCAGGTCTAGGGTATGAGGCTCTCTGAGAGCAAGGGACACAGGCATAATGCACGGACACGAATGCAGGCAAAACAGCCATTCACGTTAAAGAGGAAAAAATGCTTTTCATCATCCGGGAGGTCGAAGCACAATTGCTGTGTTCCTGGGCTAACTAAAGTAAGCCGTTCGTGGTGTTTTGTTTTTTTTTCAGACAGGGCTTCTCTCTGTAGCCTTGGCTGTCCTGGAACTCACTCTGTAGACCAGGCTGGCTTTGAACTCTGAGATCAGTCTGCTTCTGCCTCCCGAGTGCTGGGTTCAAAGGAGTGTGCCACTACTGCCCAACTATGAAGCTTTGTCTTAAAAACAAGACAGACAAACACCTATTATGTCAGGATTCAGCAGAGGCAGGCGGATCTCCGAGTCTGAGGACAGCTTGGTCTACAGAGGGAGTTCTGAGGAGTCAGCCAGGGCTACATAGAGAAACCCTGTCTGGAAAAACCAAGAGACAAACCAGAGCTTGCCTCATTCAGTAAGGTGAAAGCTGCCGAGACCCCGAGCTGCCTCACACACACTCAAACACAGACACCCACGTGTGTAGGGGAAGGCCACACAAATGCATGTGTGAGAAAAACTTAATCCACAGTTTAGGGCTGGAGAGATGGCTCAGAGGTTGAGACCACTGGCTGCTCTTGCAAAGGCTGATTTTTAATTCCTGGCAACCAGATGCTGGCTCACAACCATCTATAGTGAGATCTGGCGCCCTCTTCCGATCTATAGGCACACATGCAGGCAGAACACTGTATAAATAATAAATCTTAAAAAACAAAACAAAAACACTACAATTTAACATAGGATCCATGAGGGGCAGAACACTAGAACAAAGAAACCTGCCGGTGTGCGGAACACGCAGGGATATGAAACGGCAGCCTGGGTACAGGGACTTTGATAAGAACACATCTGAGTGTGGCTCAGATGAAAGGCTGCTTCCAAGTGTCCTTGGCCCCAACCTGACTATTCTGAGGCAGGGTCTTTCTTAGAATGTTTAATAACCTTAATAGGGCTGTGTATATATATGGGTCAGTGCACATGAATGCTGGCATTTGGGGCAGGGACATTAGACACCTGGAGCTGGAGCTAAGACAGTAGTCTTGCCAATTGTGGTGGCGCATACCGGTAGGATTTGCTGAAGGAGGCAGAGGCAGGAGGATTGCGAGTTTGAGGTCAGCCTGGGCTATACAGTTAAAAAAAAAAAAAAAAAAAGTCTTTTCCAGCTGTCCTTCCCCACCATTTTTATTTATTTATTTATTTTATTTGGGGAGGGCAAGGTCCATGTAGACCAGGCTGGCCCCAAATTCAGAGCTCCAGTTGTCTTTGCCTCCTCAAGCAACTTGGCAGGCATGGCTGAGTGGGAAGGCCCTCCTCAGGCTTTGCACACCCCGGGTGAGGCCCTGGTTGGCTGCTGCCCGTATGCATGTTCCATCTAGAGGTGTGTGTCGGCCTTTCCGAGCTGTGGCTGAGACACCCCACTTCCGTGGTCTTGCTGATGCTGACAGGTTTGTTTGTTTAGACTTGGGCGGGTCTCAAGTCGCCCTGGCAAACTTATGTGGCCAAGGCTGACCTTGAACTGAAGGAAAAATGCTCTAGTGAGCCAGTTTTTACGTTTGTGTTTTGTCTGCTAACACATCTGTGCACCCCATCTGTGCAGAAGGCAGCACACTCCATGGGAACTTCCCACGCAGGTGCTTGAACAGAACCCGGGTCCTCTGAGGGACACATGCTCCTAACTGGCACCTCTACAGCCTTAAGCCTTTTTTAATTTTTTATTTCTGAGTCAGGATCTAACAATGCAGCCCAGGGTGGCTTTGAACTCACAGAGCTCCACCCACTTCTGCCTTCCAAGTGCTGGAATTACAGGTGTGAGCATCCATGCCTGCTAAGTTTTTTTTTAACTGTCATCTGCCTTTATTGTAAACAGCAGCAGGTGGGGCACGTGTAGCAATGGTAAAAAATTAATTTACAAAAGCAGGGACTTGCTGGGTTGCCTGGTGGGTACCCTTGGAGACTTATACATATATGCCAACCCAGAGCAGTAGGAAGAGGACTCCAAAGACCATGAAGAGTGAGGCTACCAAGGAGATGAGGAGCTCTTTGTAAATGTCTCGTGTGTGCTTGGTGGAGGTGACCTCATAAACGAAGAAGCAGGCGGCAAAGAACATGCCGATGGCCAGAAGTACCACCGTCAGGTGTGGGAAGACAGCTGGGTTCACCGGGCTGGTATACCTACTCATGGCCTCGAGCTCCATTTTGCCCCGCATGGGATAAACCACCGGTCCGCCACCGGCCTGCTAACACTTTTTAAAGGCACGTTTAAAAGTGTGGAGAGATGGCTGAGCAGTTAGGAGCACCCAGTGAGGCTCCAGTATTGATGTAGAAGCCACAGGTCTTGAACCAGACCCATGACTCACTGCAACCAACATTTGCAGGTAAAGCTGTCTGGGCAACAGGGTGCACACTGGGACACATAGTAGCTTTCAGGGCAAGATTGGTTTTTGTTTTTTTGGGTATTCATTTTTTTTTTTTTTTTTTTTAGATTTATTATGTATACAATGTGTGCTTGCATGTACACCTGCACACCAGAAGAGGGCACCAGATCTCATTCTAGATGGCTGTGAGCCACCATGTGGTTGCTGGGGAATTGAACTCATGACCTTTGGAAGAATAGCCAGTGCTCTTAACCGCTGAGCCATCTCCCCAGCCCCCTTGGGTATTCATTTTTTTAAAAAGATTATTTATACAGCTTTCTGCCTTCCTGTTTGTCTGCAGGCCAGAAGAGGGCAGCAGATCTCACTATAGATGGCTGTGAGCCACCATTCGGTTGCTGGGAATTAAACTCAGGACCTCTGGAAGAACAGGCAGTGCTCTTAAATCTCTGAGCCATGTCTCCAGCCCTCATTTTTATTTTATTTTTGTTTTCTTTTGGGGGGAGGTTGCAAGACTAGCGGGCGGATATGGAATAGATGAGCAGGGCTGAGGAGCCATGTGAGATTCACAATCGATAAAAAGAAAAGAGCACCAGCTGCTCTTCCAGAGGACCCGAGGCCAATTCCCAGCACCTCGATGGCGGGAATCAACACCTTCTGGTGGCTGTGGGGACAGCACTGCACGCGCACGGAACATGGGGGCAGACCAGCACCTGCGCACAGGCTCATGCATTAAGGCACTTCTCGCACAGCTGATGGGTGGAGTAATCCAGTGGAAGAAGCAGCCTGAGGCCGGCCTTGGACCCTGGCAAATGTAAGCCTCCTCACATCAAAGTAAGTGCGCATAAGTATTAAGTATACCTGTGTGGAGACACTTTAAAGCCAGAGCTGGACTCTGAGTGCCCAGTGCTGTCTCCTGCCTGCTGAGGGCACACCCCACTTCCATCCAACGGGACAGGTCCTGGCAATCTGGTACTTATGGGCCCCTCCCAAGCACACAGGGAAGGACAGAGGGAGACAGGCCGGAGTCACAGACACAGCAGACAGCACTCAAGTTCTGATCCAAACACGCTGCTTTATTCAAACCGGGTCAAACTGGCCAATGGGAACCTGAGCCCTGCTGAGGGGCCTCCAGCAAGGCCTTGCCTGTCACCTGTGTGGGCCCAGGCTACCCGTGACTTCAGCACTGCCACCTGGGCCAGGGGCCCTGTGGCACCCTCAGCCACACGAGCCACTCAAAGCAAGGAATGAACAAAAAAACCAAATGCACGCAGTAGTCTCTGCCCAAGCCCCAGCCCACACCGGCGGGAGCCAGGGTCCCCTCTCCCCACACCCAAACCCTGCTTTAAATTAAAAAATAAGCCAGTATACATCGTAGAAAATTTCTCTTAAAAATCTCACAATTTGTAAATGTATATTTTTTCTTTAACATAAAAGTTTACAATATACGGTAAAACAAAAGGCTCAGGAAAATAATCTCAAAAAGAAAAGAAAAAAAAAGAAAGAAAGAAAGAAAGAAAAAGAAACCTGAAATTCTGAATTAAAGCTGAAGGCGTTTTTTAAACCCTGTTGTTGAACCAGTGACGTGTTTTATTGTGCTGATGGGTCAGAGAAAAGAAATATATTTAAAACCTCAGTCCAGACGCGGCCTCCACTCCCCCCCCCCAGGTCGAGTGGTCGTTTATTTTGTGTGTGATTGTCACGAGTTCACCAGTCCCGAATCCTGCCCTGGCCCATCCCCCTGGCTAGCGCCGGTAGGGGTGGAAGCCCTGCACGTTGTGGTTCTGCCCGCGTCCGAAGCCGCTGCCACCAGCGGGGGGACCCCCCGAGCCCGGCACCGAGGGGCCCCCGTAGGAGGGAGGCTGCTGGCTGGGGTCCGAGAAGCCTTGGCCAAAGCCGCTCAAGTCCTGCCCGTAACCTGCCGGGAGAGAGGCTGCTCAGCGGGGGGGTTGGGGACGCCGGCCTGCCCCAGGCTTCTGCCAGGGCCTCCCCGCCTGCTCTTGTCCCCAGGGAAAGGGCTGGCGTTCGGGTGGGGTCTGTGGAGTCACAGTCACCCTGGCGTCCTGTCTCGCTGCCCCGTGCACCCCACGCCCGAAGCAGGACTGGGAAGCTCCAGAGCACTCAGTCCCACAGGGCAGCTCAACCTAACTTCCCAATAACCCTTTCAGCTAAGCCCAGCATCCCTGAACAAGACACTGCCAATCAATCTGTCAGGGGGAAGCTTTGTGAAGGGCAGTCAACTGACACCACCTCCTGCCTGCCTGGCCAGTGGGCAGCACGAGCCTGGCAGGACACCCCAGCCAGAGCACCAGCACACGTGGACCTGGGCTATGGCGTGGGTTTGTGGTTGGCTTGTACTCCAGGGAATAAAGAGGTAGAGAGGCCGCACCTACCCACCACAGGTGCATGAAAGCATGTCCCCAGACTCAGGGAGAAGGCAACTCCCCAGGGGCGAAGCTCAGAGCTGCAGCAGCCACAAAGACACAGCCCACAGCCACAGTACAGCAGCAGGGCTTCCCAGGGCTCAGACATCAGCGCCAGGTGAGCGGGCCATGTGAGCACCCACACGCTACAGTCATGGGTGACACGGGCTGGAGGAGTGAGTCCGCCGGGCAGAGCACGGCCTGCTCTCTCGGAGGACCCCGGCGGCTTCAGGTCCCAGCACCACACAAGCAGCTCACGGGGGCCCGGAACTGCAGTTTTCAGAGGACCTGAGGTCCCCTCTGGCTTCAGAGGGCTCTTGCGTGCGCACACACTCACCCAGGTACACAGGACATAAAATAATTTTTACAAAGAAAATTTCATTCATTCTACGAGAACAAAATAAAACAGGAGCAGGCGTGGAGGTACACACTGTCAGTTCCAGCTCTGGGGAGGCAGAGGCTGGTGGAGGTCTGTGAGCTCAAGACTAGCCAGCAACAAAACCAACCTGGGTGTGGTGGAGCACAGAAGTCACCAACGCCCTTCGGGAAGCTGAGGCAGAAGGACCTCATTTAGAGTCCAAGCCTGTGCTACAGAGTGAGCTGAGAGTGAGCCTCTTTCTACAAGTCACAAAAAGGAGGGGTTGGCAAGACGGTGCGGAGCGCTTCCTGGCCGGCAGGCTGATGCGCACTGAGGTGCCCTCGGGCTACCCTCACCTGCCATGGACTGTGTATGTACACACACTAAACAGAAAGCTTAAAAAAAAAAAAAAAAAAAGAAGACTGAGAATGTCAGTCAGAGGGACATGTGCCCAGCACGTGTGAGAGGATTCAAACCCGGTGCAGAAGCCTGGTGAGGCGAGGGTTCCTGCAGCAGGGTGCGGAGCCAGGCTGGGGCAGGGGTGGGAGCAGCCTTCCACAGCAGCCCAAATCAAACATGAAGAGGCCCTGGTGCAGGGCAGAGACTGGCCACTCCCCCCACCTGACCAAGGCTGGCCTTGGCACTGGCTCCACAATGGCAGGAGGCAGGCAGAAGCTCCCAGGCAGCCAGCACACACAGCAGTCACAAGAGCCCACCCAGCTCTGCCCACACACCAGAGACTGCCTGTCCTAGCCTCTGGCTACACCACAGAGGGACTCCCCCAGAAGACAGTGGTGAAAGGTAGAGAGCCTTCATTAAGGCTCAACAGGACCTCTGGGAGCTGGCCGCCCCACAGGGACATCAAATGGAGCACGGCAGCCCAGAATCCAGTCTGGTGACCTCTCCTGCTCCTGCCTGTTCGGGAGCAGCTGGCCACAGCCACTTACCATATTGACCATAGGGGAAGTCCGGCTGGGCTGTTGGGGGTTTGCTCATGTCGGGGGCAGCCTGAGATGGAGGTGGCGGGAAGGCCAACGGGGCAGCCCCTGGGGTGGCAGGTGGAGGAGGGACCCCTGGAGGGGCGAACTGGTCAGGGGGTGGGGGCGGAGGCCCGTAGCCAAAACCTGCAGGGACAGAAGAACAGGATGAAGAGCTGGCAGCAGCGGCACAGTCCATGCGGTGTCCAGCAGACACACTGTACCAGGCACCACAGCGGCTGGGACGAGGCGGGCCGCTCAGGACGGCCCAGACCACAGCACCAGGCAGCAATGTACACGGCCAGGAATTCTAGGTCTAAACCTGGAAGCCACAGCTAGCAACTCCTAGGGCCAGGGCAGCTACTTGCTGAATGCCTGCCTAGCCCCAGCAGGCCCTGGCCTCCACCCCAGCACCAGAAGGAGAGAGCCACCACTGACCACTGATCAGACTGTTTAGAAGGTCAGCCACCTGAGCCGGCTGTGTCCTCGAGGTCCAGGTGAGACAGGCAAGTGCTCTGAACCTAAGTCAGCTGCTCTGCCTTGGGCAGTACCGGCTACAGGCCTTATCAGCATCTGCCCCACTGGGAGTAACAGTGGGGTGTCCTGGGCCAGCTCCTTCCCAGAGCTCTAGCACACACAAACTGCCTGGTGCCTAGCCATCACTGGCCTAAGCCTAAAGCAGCACAGCCCAATGACCCAAGAACGTCCCATGAACCCTCAGCCCTGGGGGATGAGCGCGGGCACACAGTCACTGCAGACCCAGCAGGATAGGATGACAGTTGACATGGGGTCTGTCCCACTGGGGTGGCACTCACTGAACTGTGGTGGGGCACCATAGCCCTGTGGGAAGCCCTGCGGTGGGGGGAAGCCTCCAGGCGGTGTGGATACAATGTAGGAGGTGAAGGGTGGGGGCGGGGGCGGGGCTCCTCTGCCCGCAGGGGGTGGGCCGTAGCCACCTGCAACATAGAGGGGGTAAGGGCAGGGTAAGGCCCCTGGCACAGCCCGACCCAGGTCCAATCCACGGTGTCCTCCCAACTCTAGTAACCCCATGCCCACAGCATAGCAGCGTGCACTTGGCCCACTTTCACTCTTGACTCACCAATGGCCTGTCCTGCTGGCACCCACATTCCTAGACAGAAAACAAGAGAAGGTGCCGGTCAGTCTGTCAGAGTGACTTCTTTTGGTGTTGCCACAACTTCCTAGGCATATGCACTAGTTTCTCAAGAGTCTTAAGGGCTGTCCGTGGCCCAAGAAAAAGGAGAGGAGCCAAGCAACAGGCCCACAGCTCTCTGCTGCTCACAGAGCAGGCCACGTGAGTGCCCACCGCTGCTCTGCCAGGGTGTCCCGGGAGCCAGAGCCGAGTGGCTTTTGTCAGAACACGGTGAACACTACAGGAAGGGGCGTGCCAAGCCCCAGCGCACTGACAGGGTCCCTTGGGGTTCAGCACCCAGATACAGCGATCCAATTCTTGCTGAGGCAGCTTGAAGGAAGAGCCCCGCCCCTCAGTCAACAGGCACTGGGTGGCCGCACACCCAGCAGAGGGGACGGAGGTCCATGGAGGGCCACCAGGACTCAGGGTGGCCGAGAAGCCTGCCCTGCCCGCATAGACGGTGGTGGGTGGTGCAGGCTTGTCAGCGTGGCCCTGAGACTGAGGCAGGAGGGCTAGAAAGTGCCCAGCGTCACTGGGCACCACAGTGACGCTGTCTCTAGGAGAAAGGTAAAGAAGGAACTGTCCCTCTGGCTGCGGTGTCAGCAGTCGGCTTCAATGCAGCCTGTGACCTCGGCGCACCTCCAGCACTGAAGGAAACTAACTTTCATGCTCTACTTAGGTCAAACAGGAAAATTCTAGAAAGTAGGAGGGGCCACCTGCGGATTGGCTCTCCTGGGCAGCCACTGCCAAGCTCCTATGTTCACTGTTGCCAGCCAGGGACTAGGCAGAGGCAGTGACATCACATGGTCTTCCAGGGACAACTCAAGAGCTGCCTCTCACCCAGCCCTGGAGCTTCTTGCAGCCTGGCTCAAGGACCAGCGCTTCTGCGGGGGTGCTTGCCCCAGCACTGAGGAGCAGGGAGGTAGCCACCACCTCCGGGACGCCCTAGCGGGGCCAAACCATGCCTGTCTCAGCGGGGCCCAGCCTTACCTTGTGGGCCATATCCTTGCTGCCACGTGGGCGGGGGCTGGCCCGCCCAGCCGTTGGCTGCACTGGGCGCGACGCGGCTGCCCCACTGGCTGGCTCCTGGCTGGCCTGCTGCTTGGTTTTTGCTGTCCCGAGGTTCGGCCCGTTTAACCTCCACCTAAACAAACCAAGCGCACTTTAGGGGGAAGCCGCGGTGGTGCCCCTGCCCTGCAGACACCCGTGGTGGCTTACAACTACACTTAACACCTTACGACTTAAAGTGAGTACTTAAGATAAGCTTACTTAGGCCAGTAGGTTTCTTTCTTTAAAAAAGTTTGCTCTTTAATTTCTTTGTATAAAAAAATGTTTCTCAGGTACCACAGTTGCATCTGGAAGACGCCTTGTGCCCCCCCACTGCAAGCAGCAGGAGGCCAAGAGCCCTCGGGAGACGGCGAGGTAGGGCACCGAGGGTACCCTCTTTAGACTGGTGGCAGTCTCCTTCCACCCAGAGCCCACCCGCCGCCCCCTGCATACCTGAGAAACACGCTGGCTTTGACTCAATTATTTAGAATGTCTAGTGGAAGATAAAGACTTACCTTCCCCAGGCTAACGCTTAAAGAGTCTCAGTTAACTCAAAGGCATGTCAGAGGGAATGATGTAAGAGCCTTACAATACAGCTAACAAAAAAGTCAACAAACATGCAATAAAATGGACATTGGGATCAGTAAGCAACCTTCATACTGTGTTTGGCAGCAGCCCAGCCCTGGCCCAGCAGGGGACAGGGGACAGGGGACAGCAGACAGGGCCCGAACAGAAGCTGGTGTGCATGACCTACTTAGGCCAGGGTGCAAGGACAACCTCCCTCTCTGCTGAGGGCACAACTCAGCAGGCCCTGCCCAGGCCGCCTGCGGAGCCAGGGTTAGGCCCAGAACACAGGCTCCTGTAGGGCCCTGAGAGAGGGGCTAAGCACTCGGGCCTCCCCATTTCCCAGCAGAAGCACAGCCCCACCCCCACCCCACCCCAGTGCCCGAGGGCTGTCCCGGTGGTGGCAACTTGGTGGGAAGCAGAGGCTGAATGCCCGGGCAGTGTGAAAGCAGGGACAGCTTGGAGAGAGCGAGCCCCTGCAGCCCCTGAGGACTCGTCCTGCTTACAGAGCAGTCTGTGCCCAAGATTTGGGGAACCTGGGCTGTGGCTTCTCTGTTTGGGGTTTCCTCACCATGCAGGCCGAGCTCCGCACACAGGAGCCCACCAGGAGCTGCAGTGACCGGTAAAGGTGAGCAATGGGCAGGCTAGGGTCTCTAGGGGAGGGGATCTGGGGGCGACCCTTGACAGTACACACAGACAGTACCCTCTGAACTGCTGGCAGCTACTGTGCCCTACAGTCTGCATGCTGGCTTCAACCGAGGCCGCAGCAAGTGTCAGGACAAGGCTGCCCCATCTCACTGGGCTCTGTCTAGGAAGAAGAGCATGAAGCCCATAGCCTGGGTCGCTGCAGTCCCAGAGCATGAGACGCCCATCCTTCTGCACTTGGGCCCAGCACAGGCAGCCACAGGAGTGGCCGGAGAGGTGGGGTGGGGGAGGGTGCTAGTCTTAAGGCTGGGGCTCGACACAGCCAGGGCAACCGTGCATGCTAAGGTGGCTTGAGGGCTAAATGGGAACCCTGCGCATGCGGCCATAGAGAGCTGAGGCCTGGGATCTTGGGAGGCCCTGGGTCTGCTCTGCCCACTCTGGCAGCAACACAGTATGAAGACGGAACACCAAAGGTCACTTGACTGCACGTGGTTAAGTGCTATCAGAGCATGTGGCTGGTCCCGGAGTTTCACAGTAAGTGACCCGATAGAGAACCAATCCTTCAGGATGTTTCAGTGCACTCAGTTTGGAGCTGGACCTCGGCTGGTGGAGGATCCTGCTCATCCCATTAATGTCACCGTTACAGAAGGGGCTGGGCCACATCTGAAGGAGTGGTCATGGAAACCGAGCCTGAGGCAACACTGGGGTCTCACTGAAGGGCCCCCTCCCAGGACCCTCCCTCTACCCCACCCCCCATCCAGGGGCAGCGCCCCCTCACGTCCTGCTGGGAGTCCCCACTCTCCAGTGAAACCCCTCATTGCCTAAGGCTTGGCTTGGTCTTAAGGTAAAATAAAACTACAACTACACACTTTTTTGCCCATGATGTCGTGAAAATGCATGTTGACAGCCTGGTCCACTGATTGTTCGTCCTCGAAAGTAATAAATCCAAAACCTAGCCAACGACGAAGAGTGAATCAAGGTAGCAGGGCGTGTGACACAAACAGGATGATGAACAGTATCAGGGCGGCCACGGGGTGGAGCTGGGCTTCAGACACAGCCTGTGTGCAGAGGCGCTACGGCCGGGTCAAGGGGGGGGGAACAATCGGTGACGTTCACCCTTCTCCGGGCTGAGCGTGTGTGGCCACGGGGAATCAGGGTGACTGGGAGGAGGGTGTGTGTGTGGTGTGCTCTGGCTCTTCTGAAACCCAGCTTCTCCCCCGGGGTTTGCAATTCGCTTCGCAGCTAGTGCTGACAGCAGCCCCCGCTGTTCTAGGCGGTACCGAGTGCAGTTCCTATCGTGCCTCGCCAGGCTTACCCAACACTGTTGGCTAAGCCCGCGGAGTCCTATAGCTAACAGTCCTACTCCTCTATGCACATACGCTATAGGTAAATACAGATAATACACAAAGATACAGGCCACAACAGGTTCCAGCAGGTCAAATTCTGCTGTCAGCAGCAACAGCAAGAGGCATGGTGTCATCAAAAAAAAAAAAAAAAAAAAAAAGAAAAAAGAAAAAAAGAAAAAAAAAAAAGGAAAAAAGAAAAAGAAAAAAAAAAGAAAACTTCAAAGGAAAAAAAATTTAGCATTTCCCAAACACAAGAAAGTGGCAGTATAAACGAAGTTTGGTTGGTCTGGGGCAAGCGCGGCCACCCAACTAGGGGCAGGAGGGACAGGGCCTCTGGCCTCCACTGAGGACATAACAAGCACTAACATCTCCTCAAGCGCTCAGGCCCAGAGACCTCAGGGACAAAGGGCAAGGGAGGGCTCAAGACAGAACCACCCAGAAGGGCGCCAAGAGAACTTTACGGTGGGGATGGAAGGATGTGACAAAGGTGCCCTGAGCTCTGTGACAGGGGAGCTGGGAAGAAGTGGCCTGGGGACAGGACACAAGCTGATGAGATGGGGTGTTGGGGCTGAACCAGAAAAGTCACCCTAAAAGGACGTGGCAGGAAAGAGACGCAGGCTGGAAGAATGGAGCTGAGGGAGTAGGGGGAGGCGCGGAGAAGGCCAGGGGCTTCGGGACCCTGCTGCCCTATGCAGATGGGCCGGGGCAGGAGAGAAGGCAGATGGACGGGAAAGGTGACTTCTAGAGGAGCTGGGGGCTGAAGAGACAAGACCAGGGACAGAGGACAGTAAAGGAGACTGCAGACAGGTGCTCAGGGATCAAGAGGTCTGGGGGACAAGATGGCCTGCTATCAAGTCAGCAGACACAGAGCAGGAAGGGAAAGGGATGCTGAGACCCACCAAGACCCTCAAGGAGTCAGTAAAGCCAAGAAGACAGGAGGTACTGTAGAGGCCCTGCTGACTCAACCGCTGCCATCTGCCACCCACTGGGACACTTCCAAGCCCCCAGGGGATACAGGCCCACACGCCAGCCCCGAGGCTCTTGACCCAGCTCCTGCTGCCCCTCCAGCAAGGGTCAGCAACACTAGCTGGGTCTGGCCAGGCCGGGTGGCAGGAGGGCGGCGGCAGCTGTGCCAGCCGTGGACGGGAGGACCTAGGAGCTGCCCTCAGAGTCCTGCACACCGAGGCTTCGCAAAGTCAGGCGGCATTTGGAACACAACATAGTGATGAAGACATGTGAAAAGTTGACATTCTCTCAAACGGCGGGAGTGTCTGAAGCCACCGGGCTAGCTGGGTCCAGGCACAGTGCAAGAGGCCGTGGGTCGTGGGGGAGGAGCCGGGGCAGGCTGTCTACAACGCTGTGTCAGAGGCAGCAGCGGGACAAACACACTGAAACTTCGTTTACACCCCACGGGAGCAAAGCCGCTCCGTCCTCTGACTGCGGGCGGGCCTGTACCTGTGTGACTTAACTTAGCACCTGGAGAGAGATCTAGAGAGACATCGTTAATCACAGACAATCACAGAGAGAGGAGACAGCTTACTTAACGGTACCGTATTCTATGACACTACGTACGTCATTAAGCATGTATGTCTACCGTAATTAAGACTAAGACTTAACAGCTAAACCACACGAGTGAGCAGTGCGTCCTGGACAAGTGGAGGAGGCTCAAATGGCAAACTATGCTCCTGAGTGGTGGCACCATGGGCACCTGAGCAGCACCTTCACTGACGGGACATGTGGATGATGGCCGTGTGGACTGAGGGACAGATAGGGTGACGGTAGCAAGAGTGATGTGAGGTGAGGGTTCTGTGGCGTGGAGCACTGTGGCCCGACATGGACTCAACCACAAATGTGGGTGACAAACAAAAAGAAGGTCTGGAGAGTCTGCTTCCTGGCCAGCGTGGAGTGAGTGTAGGCAGTTGGGGGATGGATGGAGTCTAGGGGCCTTGCTTGGCCTGGCGTGGTCACACAGCAGATCCGGGCGACTGGAATGAAGGGAAGGAGTCTGTGCTTCGGAAGACCTTTAAACAGCTGTGTTGATATTCATGTCAAGCGGTCAGACTGTCCCACAGGGAGGCGAGAACAATGTGTGATGTGAGTGGGAAGCATGGAGACTGTCTGGGCATGTGGCCCAATGGCACTGGCTGTGCAGCATCCAACCCTGGCCTGTCTAGGGCGAGATAGTTTGCCATCTGAGGGGAGGACATGGGTCAGGATGAACGGGCTCAGCCCTTACCTCGAGGCCGCTGCTTCTCTGCATCATAGATCATAACCACCTCGGTGACCTGTGGACAAAGGATGAATGAGGCAGGCTTTGTGGAGGCAGGTGCCACAGACCCACGCAGCCGGTTCCAGGCAGTCCCAGGGCACTAGCCAAATGAGAGGCTTGCTAAGGCAGACCAGCAACTGTGTCCTGGTTCCATGTCCCAGAAGGAGTGAGGTCTGGGAGATGCCAGGCAGTCTCCCCCTGGCCTGTGCTATACCCTGCCAAACAGACACACCGCCCTAGGGTCACCAGGATGCTGCCATGCATGATCACAACCCAGCACAATGTCTAACAGCTAAGGACCCTGCTGTCTTGTATGCCCCACCCAGCTACTCAAACCCCTCAGTGAGCAAAGGGCTCCATCCTGTCCCAGGGGCAAGGCCACACCCAGGAGTTCCAGCCTCTGGGAGATGCACAAGGAAAATACAAACACCTCGAACCAGGAGACCAGCTGCTCCCACAGCAGAACCCTATGTGAGCATAAAGCCAGGTGTCTAGGAGACACAGGGCTCAGGGACCTGGTCTAACTAGGGCCAGCTGCCTGGCCACGAGGCAGCACACCTCCCCAGCATGGCCAGCTCCTCACTGCCCACTGCCCTGCTCTCCCCAAGGCCCCAAGCAACACTGGTGGGAGAAGCAGGGGTAAGAGCATGCCAGGGGCTGAGGTAGGAATGGCCACGGGGGCCCGCAGAGCTCACCACTCCGAACTTCTTGAAGTACTCCCTGAGCTCCGTCTCGCCGCAGTTGTGGGGAATGCCCCCCACAAAGATCTTGTTGGATTTGCTGCTGTCGCTCCTGGGTCCTTTCTGCTGTCAGGGAGGAAGGGGTCAGCGACTTCTGACAGACCCCCCCAGGCTGGCCACCGCACGACCCTTCCCGCTCTTCTACAGCTCCTGCCAAGACAGCCTCGCTACGTAGGCCGCGCTGCCCCTCAGCTCACGGCAATCCTGCTGCCTGGGGCTCTCCAGTGCTGGGCCAACACACATGAACCACATGCCCTGCCCCTCGTGTGGCCTTTCCTTGTTCTGGCTTTGTTTGGTTTTTGTTTTTGAAGGCCGGGTCTCACCATGCACTTCTAGTCCACCGAAACTCATCATCTCGATGAGACTGACCTTAAAATCAAAAGATCCGCCTGCCTCTTCCTCCCCAGTGCTGGTACTAAGATATGCACCTCTCATTCCCATCTGTGGCCACCCAGCTTTTACAGCTCCTGAGTCACCTGAAGCCAGACCATGTCGGGAAACTGCAATGCTACCCTGGGACACCAGGGGACAGGCGCCTGCGGCATTTTCTCGGCGCCACACACTCGGCCTCGGACCACAAAGAGCGAAAGGTCTGTGAGCAGGGCAGGGGAGCATGGGCTGCGCTTCCACAGCTCAGGATA